GGCTTCGTTTTCTTTTTGTTTTTTGTTATTTTTTTTTTACATATACAAATATTAATAAGAAAACTCGAGCACAATATTTTCGTAGTAATGTGATTCGTCAAATATGTTTGATAAAATAGACGATATTTAATAAAAGTGAATCCATACTTATGCTGAAATCGATAAAAACATATATATGAGAGAAGCTCATATATGATGGCAATACTAAGTCTTAATATTTTTTTTTTTCGTCATGCATAATGAAATTGTGTCTATTAATAAATAAGTGAGGATTTGTGTTTTTTGAAAAAGAAAAACGAAATGAAAAATCTTTGTGAGAGCTCTTACTACTTATTCTGCTATTACTTCTGTCATATACTCTATGGTAATTTTAAACGCGATAAATTGTTGACAGAATGGTTGCTATTGGCTCAGGTAACCACAAGTAAACTAAGGAACATCCTTCAACACCCACTATTAAAATAAATAATCCAGTTTTAATTACCACTAACATGTTTGTTAGATAATATTTCGAGAAAAAAAATCCGTGTTTTAAATCGAACCTTGAGTTTTATATTCATATTCTCTATATGTATAACTAAGCTCCTTTTTTTTACTCTTTCCTATTTGTTTGATAGTAAATTATGTTATTAATTGCTCAGCAAGTCATAAAATAAAAGAGAAAGAAAAAGAAACGCTAGAAGAGTAAGTGTTTTTGTACAAATAATTTGATCGTCCTACGCATTATTAGGCTTCATTTGAATGAACGCTCGTTAGTAACGTGTTATATTATAATACACCGTCATTGTAAGCAAACAAAAACAAAGAATTACGAAATTTTTTAGTTTCTTTCGATTGCACAAAATAAGTATGAAAAATAAAAAGAAAAAACTGTATAAAAGTCAACAAAAAGGAAGAAGAATTTTTGATGTAGAACAGTAACATTATATCTTTAATTTGAGAGATTATTATCAAAAAAAATATGAAGGTGAAAATGCATGAGAAGTTTATAGGTAGAAGACAAAGAGAGAGAGAGAGAGAGAGTGATTGGGGGAGAGGGAGTACATCATTATATTCCGTTTATTTTATTTAGTATTTCGTTTTTTTTCTTTCATCTAAAAGAAAGAAAGAAAAAAACGAGATGAATATGAGATTACCGCTAGTAATTATCAATCATTGACAGGTAATTTTTTCTTTTTCAATGGAAGCATATTTCTCTTGTTATTTTTTGTCATGTGTAATTATTTCGAATAATAAGCTACGTTGATTCAATCTCTATAGGTTTTTGACGATTGAAAAAATGTACACGTACACCGTTAATACGTATAAGGAATTAATTCTATTTGTTCGAGACAAAAATATAAAAGGTTTTTCATCGCAAAAAACATGTCTTGATTATAAAAATATATTTATAAGTACATTTTATTCTTTTTTTTTCTTCATCAAAGCCTATTAATCTTAAACGAGCATTCGGATTTAATATTTCATTTCTTTGACAAACTGTGCGGATGATGAGTGAATACAGTTCGCATGGGTTATAGTTGACATCGCATGTTAAGTATAATGGCAAAAGCACACGATAATTTAGAAGCCTTAGAATTTTCTCTTTTTCTTTTTTTTTCGTTCGCAATGCCTGCTGTTTTCTTTTACTTTGTTTTAACTGGAACAAAACATATAAAATCGAAAGAAAAAGTTATTAGTAACTATATACGTGTGTGTGTATGTATCAGAATAATCATGATGCACTAAAATTCTGTACTGAAAATCGCCATTAATAAAGTTTGTAGATCATGTTAAGTTTGTCTATTCAAAAGAAACGATAGTTTTCTATTGATATTCTCGATCATATTTGTGTGAACGTGAAAGAAGCGATTTGAAATATTTGATTATTTTAGATTTCTATATAGGAATATAAATAAATATATATATACAAATCTGAATGGAATTATCGCATGTACTTTTATGATTATATATATAGAAAAGAAAACAAAATATACTACCATGTTTTGGTATAATTCATTAATAGGATTAAAAGTATCATATTTGGCAATCATAATTACTTTCATCTCAGGTAAAATATTTTTTCATCAAAGGATAATGGGGAACAAAGGCTCAAAAATTTCTTTTTTTGTAGTGTTCACATGCATTAAATGTACAACGACACAAACAACAAAAAATAGTACATGGCCGAAGGAAAAACAAACACTTTTATCAGAAATACATGACTATAAATCCACTGATAATATCCCTGACATTAGTCCGATAAATGAAGGATTTATATTAATTTCTGATAATCAGAAGAAAAAGAATCAACCAACACTACCCCCGACCTCAGCTAGATCCATAGAACTAAAGCGAATTTCCACACCAAGGAACTTGCTCGATGTATCGTCGACAACATGTAAACCTGAGCTTCGAACAACATTCACCTCTACTAGTATTATCACAACGACAACATTACAAAAAACACCAAATCAGACAGTAAACTTGAACAACGATCCTTCGCAAGGACGTCTTGGTCGACGATTACTAAATGATCCAAGTTACGATACAGAAATCGATCTACCATCAACAGAAACAGTGCTCGACGATGATGGTGACGTTCAAAGCTTTTTAAAATTCGATGATGTCAATCTAAGTAAACAGTTAGTTGGTCTAGAAGCCATGACAGATGGCAGTGGATATGGTATGTAGAAATTACATAATAATTTCTCTGCAGATAATAATTCTTTAATTATTTTACTTGTCTTTATTAAGCTACAGAAGAGACCACAGAAGAAACAACCAGTAGGTAAAACTGTATTTATTATTAGTCTTCACATATTTATCATTATAGCATCATCATTGACGACATCCAACGAAACACTTTCGTCTGCTGAAACTAGTATGTAACTGAAACGTGACGTTTATCAACAATACTATCCATAACTTTTCCCGCTCTTAAATGTATCTATTTATCTTGATTTTAGCCACCACCATCACCGCTTTCTACAATTCTATCGCAACTAGTGAATATTTCTTTAGAACTAGCAAAATAAGTGCGCTTTTATGAATTTCTTTTCTATTTTCCCAGACTATACCAGTAGTATTACAACGACAAGCGAAGCAACCGTTTCTGCGTTAACATCATTCACATCAATCACATCTTCACTATCAGAGGGGGAGACAACCGGAACTACAACATCGACAACTGCTACTTCCGAAACATTAGTCACTAGTTCCACTACCACAGCAGCCGAATCCACAGCAACCACAATATCCACTACAATTATCACAGAATCATTCGGAACTGATTTTTCTATCACCGCAGTTGAACTAACTGGAAGTACAATGTCTACATTCACTATTCCTGACTCACTGCGAACTGATTCTATTACCACAATCGTAGAACAAACAGAAACTACAGGTTCGACAATGAGTACTACCGAAGCAGTTGCAACCGGTGTCACTATAACAACAGTAGAACCAACTGAAACCGCTACATCAAGAACTACTATTACAGTGTCATTAGCAACTGGTTCTACTGCCACAGTTACCGAACTAACAGAAACTACTACATCAACAATTACTATTTCAGCATCAGTAGGAACTGATTTCTTTACGACAACTAGTGAAGTAACAGGAACGGTAACAGCGTCAGCCACTGTTGCAGAATCACTCGGAACTGCTTCTACTACCACAATAGTCCAATCAATAGAAACCACTACATCATCAAGAACAGTAATAACGACCGCTACAGTTATACCCACTGAAACAACAGAGTTCACTACCACAACGATACAACTGTTTCCTAATGGTACCAGCAGCGTCATACCTGACCAAACCGGAAGTACAACTTCCACAGCAACCGCGCAATCATCCATTCCAGATAATACAAACACCATACCAGAAGTCACTGGTAGCACAATGTCTACAACAACCACTGCCGAACCTTTCAGTACTGCCACTACAACCAATACAACGGAAGCAACAGTCACCACAATTTCCACAACAGCAACTACGCCATCCGCGGGTACTGGCACGACTACCATAACGCTGGAAGTAACGGGTACCACAATTTCAACAATAACTACGCAATCAGCGGGTGGTAGCACTACCACCATCACACAGGAAGCAACAGGAATCACAATATCAACAATAACAACTACACCATCAGT